CCCCAGCGTCTGCCCCCGCCGGGGCGGGACACACGGAGCCGGACCCCCGCAGGGGAGGAGGGGCAGATCCAGAACCCAGTGGGGGTAGGAGAGGGACAGACAGACGCAGACCCCCGCGGCGGGAGGGAGAGGACAGACAGACCCGGAGCCCAGCAGAGGGACAGACAGGTCCAGACCAGCAGGGAGTGCAGAGGAAGGGAGAGACAGACAGACAGACAGACCTGGACCCTAGTGCCACACCAGTGAGTGGAAGGAGAGGGCACCTTGCTCTGGGCAGAGTGGGCACAGCAGGGCAAGGACTGGCCTGTCGCCTCCCCACCAGGTTTGGCTTCCCTTGCTGGGTGGGGCAGCTGGCATGAGGGCAGAGGTGCCACTGTCTTTTGCAGGGTCCCGGGCTGGAGGTGGCTGCAGAGAGGCAGAGACAGCCGGGGAGGAACGGAGCAGCAGCAGTTGCTGTAGCAGCGAGCGCCTAGTGATCAACATCTCTGGGCTGCGCTTTGAGACCCAGCTGCGGACCCTGTCCCTGTTTCCGGACACGCTGCTGGGGGACCCGAGCCGCCGGATGCGCTTCTTCGACCCGCTGCGCAATGAGTACTTCTTCGATCGGAACCGACCCAGCTTTGATGCCATCCTCTATTACTATCAGTCCGGGGGCCGGCTCCGCAGGCCAGTCCATGTGCCCCTGGATGTCTTCATGGAGGAGATCCGCTTCTACCAGCTGGGTGAGGAGGCCATAGAGAGCTTCCGGGAGGATGAGGGCTTCATCCAGGAGGAGGAGAAGCCCCTGCCTCAGCAGCATTTCCAGCGGCAGGTGTGGCTCCTTTTCGAGTACCCAGAGAGCTCTGGGCCAGCCCGAGCTATCGCCATTGTCTCGGTGCTGGTGATCCTCATCTCCATAGTCATCTTCTGTCTGGAGACCCTGCCTGAGTTCAGGCAGGAGAGCAAGGGTACACAGTCGGGCTTTGCGGAGAGTGCACATGGGGAGGACCAGCTGTTCTTACTCCCTGAGCAGCCAAATGGCACCCCAACCCCAATGCACTCCTTTTCTGGTGCCAGCCCCTTCTTCACGGACCCCTTCTTCCTCATCGAGACCCTGTGCATCATCTGGTTCTCCTTCGAGCTGCTGGTGCGCTTCTTTGCCTGCCCCAGCAAGCCCGAGTTCTCCCGCAACATCATGAACATCATCGACATCGTGGCCATCATCCCCTACTTCATCACCCTGGGCACTGAGCTGGCTCACGAGCAGCAGCAAAAACAGCAGCCTAGGACCACCAGCAACAACGGAGGCCAGCAGCAAGCCATGTCCCTGGCCATCCTCAGGGTCATCCGCCTGGTCAGGGTCTTCAGGATCTTCAAGCTCTCCAGACACTCCAAGGGGCTGCAGATTTTGGGCAAAACCCTCCAGGCCAGCATGCGGGAGCTGGGCCTCCTGATCTTTTTCCTTTTCATCGGGGTGATCCTCTTCTCCAGTGCTGTGTACTTTGCTGAGACAGATGACACAGATTCCTTGTTCACCAGTATCCCAGATGCTTTCTGGTGGGCTGTAGTGACCATGACCACGGTGGGCTATGGGGACATGTACCCTATGACAATTGGGGGCAAGATTGTGGGCTCCCTGTGCGCCATCGCTGGTGTGCTGACCATAGCCCTGCCCGTGCCTGTCATTGTGTCCAACTTCAACTACTTCTATCACCGAGAGACGGACCAGGAGGATCATTGTCAGTACACCCATGTGACCTGTGGCCAGCAGCAATCTCCTTTCTTGGAACCTAAAAAGGGGGACAGCAATCAGTCCCTCAGTAAATCAGAATTTCTGGAGGCAGAAGATTTAGACTCTATGAAATATCCCAACTTCATTCCAACCCGCAGCCAGGGCTACAAAGGGAAGAAAATGCTGACAGAAGTGTGATCATCTTTTCTAACAGGGTGTGAAGTAAGACTGGGTTTTTACAGTTCTACTATCCTCACCCCATTCTCCTGGATTCCAGATGCATAGTCACAAGCTGTTGCACATTCTTTCTCCTAGTAGCAGCTGCATATATTCAAGAGAAAACAGCAGACTGTGAATTGTGACACTGAAAACAAATTGCTTGTGATTTGGATGCTCCTTTCCTTGTTTGCGATATTTCACTCGTGCAATTGGACATTCTTGTGCTTTACTATGTAGATCAAGGGAGACCACTTGTTGTCCTCTGCCCCTTCCATATTATCTTTGCTGCAGGGCGGAGCTTTATTCCAATTGTAGCTCTGAAGGTTAATTTTTCTACTACATCTACAAAAGAAAAGCTTAGACCATGCTTGCTGCTAAAAGATCAGAGAGGGAATAAACAAATGGGCCACTCACCTCTGTCTTAAGCTATGCTGGTGAATTCCTGTGCCGGTGCAGTGACCTTGGTTGTGGGATCAGTCGTGCCTGTCATGCAGTTGCCTTGGGAGAATGGTAACATTCAGCATTGCATTGTGTTCTGCAGATATAGAAAAGTCAATGAATGCCTTCCTCTGACACTTGTCCCCAGGTTTTCACTGCAGTGTGCATATAAGAAGGGCTTGTTTGTTATTAGCTGTTCAGATATAAAAGCACTTTAATTTTTAACTAGTTGTGATGATAGAAGTTGTGACCAACATTTGCCATCTGTGGTGTGGCAAAAACAGTTGTTTTTAAAATTATAGGCTGAGGGATCATTTTCTTACTCTTTCTGTTGGAACAAATTTCACCTTTAGCATTTATCATAGCAACATCATCTGTGTGCCTGTGTCTTCCTAGGCAGGGCATGTTAGGCGAATTCTTTGTCTTCTGACACATACCACATTTTTTAATGAAATGTACTTTATGCTGCAAGTATCCAATTCAGTACTTAGAATCATGGGAGCAATTGACTTCATTAGGATGCACAGTTATGAATTTTAAGGGCTTGTGTAGATTAGGGAAACTTGCAATAGTGTAGTTACACTACTGCGGACCCCTGTTGTAGACACACTACATCAGTGCAAAACTGGGCTTACATTGGTATGACTAACCCACCAGAGTAAATCACACACTGTAGTTGTGTGACTAGGGGTTAATATTGGCACTAGTGTAAATTTCCCTAATGTATCTAGAGAAACCCTACAGGCATAACTGGGATCTTTCAAATGAGGAAAAAGACCTGAAGGACTAATCTTGGAAAGATGCTATTGTCTTAAAAAGAAATACCCAAAACATGAGTTCAGATGGAAGGTACAGCAACATCAGGTACATACTCCAGTTTCTTATGAGAGAAATATTTGTAGCAGTGCAAAAAGCACACTCTGGTCTGAAGCACCATGCTTATCAGTGTGCACATTTTATATCTAAAGGTCCATCTGTTGTGTCACAGATCTTCTCACTGATCTTCTCACTATTTAAAATAACTCTGCTTTTTTTGTATTGGAGGAGTAACCGTGTTAGTCTATATCCTCAAAAGCAACAAGGGGGTCTTGTGACACCTTAAGCATTACAGATTTATTTAGGTATAAGTTTTCGTGGGAAAAACCCTACTTCATCAGATGCAACTGACAAAGTGGGTTTTGCCCACAAATGCTTATGCTCAAACAAATCTGTTAATTTTTAAGATGCCACAGGACTCCTTGTTGTTTCTGCCATTTTTCTAGCTTAAAAAAAATTACTCAGATGTCCTTGTGGGAGAACAAATGGGGGAAAAGGAGAAATGGATGCTTCCAGAATCCAGAGATAAGCTATACCAAAAAGGAAATGTCTTAAAATTAAATGTATATTTTGCATGAATGTGTGTGTATGAGAAGAGTGAGAGTCAGCACTGATGTATTGTGCTATATTATACATGTATTATCTGTTTTATATATTGCATACAACCTGTGTAATACATAGAACAGTGTACATAATGTATATGCATTTCCTTCATGTTGTGTATATTATTTGCAGCAGCCATAAAGCAGGGTCTGAAGGAATAGGAAAAAAGATTAAATAAAGGCGTATCCTTTATTTAAACGTGTTTCTCTGCTACCAGGTTTTAAGACAGAACCCTCAGGATTGTATGACTGTAGCAATCAGCACAGATTTGCACCTCTGTTGCCCTGCTAGTTCCTCACTGTTCTGAAATTTGATTCTAAGCCTGGACTGACTTTGTCACGGTCTTTCCTTATTTAGGCCCTGATTCTGCACTGAGAACTGTGTGGGCAAGTCTGAACACTTGTGCTCACCCTGAGTCCCACTGACTTCAAAGGGGCTCCATATTGGATGCAGGGAATCTCTCTCCACAATTCTCCATGGAGGATCAAAGCATTAGACTTTGATTCTTCTCCTACTGAAGTCAGTGGCAAAACTACCATGGATTTCCCTGGTGCAAAATCAAGTCCTTAGGCATGACTGTGAGATGTGATGAGCACTATCAACTGCTGCTGAAACTGATGGTAGCTGATAAATCAGCCCAAAGCTATTTTGCTTGGTTATATTTCAGGAAGACTGTTTTATGTAATTAATTATTATTATGGTTTTTTTTTAATCTGTGCCAGAGACTGTTTGGGCTAGATTCTGTGTGGTACCAGCAGGTGTCCAGTAGGTCTACTGAATGGCCTCCTTTTTGAGACACACAGCTCAAGATATCCAGGGCATTGCTGTCTCTCAGCAGAATGCCTATTTGGGGTTGCTTTTATATATGTGTATACTAGCTGCTCAAAGTTTCCCTAAATGGAGATGTAAAAAGCTCAGGTTAAACAAAAGTTCAGAATGCGGGACAAGACATACTGTTGTCTTAAATTACTTAGCTCATTTATTCCCTGGGTCCTGACAATGGCATATTTGATTGACCGAAAGTCTTCCAAGACATTTAGATTCAGACCAAAGTGCTCACAGCACAGTCTCCGTAATCTAACACCAGCATGAAGGTGTTGTCCAGGTTTCCTGGAATTGTGTTTGCTTAAGGGGTGCTCTCAACTTGAATGTGGCCAGACATTTATATTTGGTGTGTTTGTGGTATGTGTCAGTTTTATGGTCAATAGAAATACCTCTATAAAACAAAGGAACGTGCTAGTGAAAAGCAGCCTGTTGTAAACAAACAGCTCCCTGCAGTGTTTGCCACCCAGACTCTTCAACATTGAGAAGAAGGTTTTGTGTATGAAAAAGAGTAACATTGACTTCAAGGATTTCCCTTGCCATAATGGAGAGAAAGGTGTAAAAGGAACAAAGGTCCAAATAATCAAACTTGGGTGACTACATTGAGGCACCCAAAATCAGTATTTAAAGCGCCTTATTAAACATGGGCTGATTCCTCAGGATTGTTGAGCATTTACAGTTGTGGGTGGTCAGCATTTTTCATCAGTAGGCTGCTTTTATTTTGGGATTATGGCTTTCAATAGGACTTGTGCTCTCACTTAAGAGTGTGATTTTTGAAAACACCTCAGTTCCTGATTTTAGTGATCGAAATGTAGCCGTGTTAGTCTGGTGTAGCTGAAACAAAAAACAGGACTATGTAGCACTTTAAAGACTAACAAGATGGTTTATTAGGTGATGAGCTTTCATGGGCCAGACCCACTTCCTCAGATCAAATAGTGGAAATAAATAGTCACAACCATATATACACCAAAGGATACAATTAAAAAAATGAACACATATGAAAAGGACAAATCAAATTTCAGAACAGAAGGGGGATGGGGGGGGGGAGGTAAATGTCTGTAAGCTAATGATATTAGAGGTGATAATTGGGGAAGCTATCTTTGTAATGGGTGAGATAATTAAAGTCTTTATTCAAACTTAGGCATAAAGTGTCAAATTTAAGCATGAATGACAGTTCAGAGGATACTCTTTCAAGAGGATTCTGCTTCAAAGGCCTTTTAAGACACTTGAAAGAGAATCCTCTGAACTGTCATTCATGCTTAAATTTGACACTTTATGCCTAAGTTTGAATAAAGACTTTAATTATCTCACCCATTACAAAGATAGCTTCCCCAATTATCACCTCTAATATCATTAGCTCACAGACATTTACCTCCCCACCCCTCCAACCCCCTTCTGTTCTGAAATTTGATTTGTCCTTTTCATATGTGTTCATTTTTTTAATTGTATCCTTTGGTGTATATATGGTTGTGACTATTTATTTCCACTATTTGATCTGAGGAAGTGGGTCTGGCCCACGAAAGCTCATCACCTAATAAACCATCTTGTTAGTCTTTAAAGTGCTACATTGTCCTGTTTTTTGTTCCTAATTTTAGGAATTCATTGGGGATATAAGAGACTGTTTTTGTATCTATATATGTTCCTTCTTAAGTCAGAGCACATCTTTGTGAAGCATTTGTGGAAAGTATGAATCTCCAGGGACTTGTTTCCATAACAACCTCCCAGACTGTTTCTCTGTACCTTGTGACTTTGGCTACAAGCAAAAACACTGGCTAAATATTTCAAGTTCCGAGACACAAACATCCCGTTAACACAGCTGTTTGGAAAAGCCTATAATGTGGGGGTGCAGTGAAGGGGGTCCCCTGTCCTTGCCAGAGAAGGTCTGCTCCCCAGCCCCAAACACCTCAAGCTCAAGACTGATCTGTGTTGCAAATATTTGAAGGCAACAATTGAAAGCAGACAATATGGAAATGGGAAGACGCGCCATCTTTATATCTTTGCAAGCAGCTGCCATGGGAAAAGCATCCTGAGTGCTGTCAGTCCAATAGCTGGAAGGACACAAAGCCTGTGAATCTGAAATCATTTTGAAATAATTGGATGCCCCATGAGAAACCCTGAAATCTAAAGCAGTGGTAAATAAAAGTAATACATCTTTCAATTATCTCAGCAGAAAAAAAATCTTGTTGAAGAAATTATTGATCCTTCCCCAAGTCCTTTTGCTGAAGAGCTCGGTGTCTTGGCAGTTTCCCTAAGGGAGATTTTGTACAATCAAAGCCCTTTTTGTTGTCTGCAGAGGGGTGGAAGAATTCTAGTGATTTGTTGCC